GAACATAAATTGTAACTGTTTAGTTTTACAATCAGGAGAATGGAGGGAAGCCACCTTTAGTCGGGATACAGCTAGTGGTACCGAAACCATCGAAGGATTATCGCTTCATGAAATGGAACTGGCCGCTCATACGGAAGACTTGTTTCTGGTCTTTGATGTCGGTGCTCGCCGGGTGCGTAGCACTCGTCATCGGTGTAATCGCCACGATGCCAAGAAAGTAAGTGCTCGCAGTACATGGGGGGAACAGTAAAACTAAAAATTCTGGTTGCTATGATTTTCCGCTGGAGAACAACAGGTTAGAATCTGTCGTGTTTCTCCGTGAATGAATCTCATTGAATGTATATTCAGCTCTTCGTTCGTATAAAAATTTGCATTATTCGTTAGTTTCTTCATTTTGATATCACTCGCTCGTTAAATGAAGAGATACGAGTTTATTTCCGTTTTATAAAATTACTACGGCTAGGCATGTGTTTAGTATTATAACTAGAAAGCAGATTAACGGATAATGGAACTGACGTATTCGGTCAGTAGGGTATACGTTTCTTTCCACAAAGACGGTTTTAGTCTTTCAATGATTAAAAAATCAATTTCGTAACTATAATAATTCCATATAATAACCACAAATTTCGAAAATAATCCACGAAATCCAATAAGTATTCCAATCTAATTCATTCATATACACACGCCATGTGAATAAAAATACAATACCATTTACAATTACTTTTGACACTTAATCAATTTAATCTATTCAAAAATATAGTACGCTATCTAAAGAACTCGTTTCAACCCCCAGGTGTGATCCCCCAGTGCAATGGTGGCAGGGCAGCGTGTTCTACGAGATATTCCCCGCATCGTTCCAGGATTCCTCGAAGAGTGGCGACGGGATCGGCGATCTTCGCGGCATCACGATGCGTCTGGACTACTTGAAAAAGCTGGGCGTGCGCGGGATCCGCTTGAACTCGATCTTCCCGGCGGCTCACTATCCCGAGTATTACGCGAACATCGAGAACCTGACAGACGTGAACAGAGAATTGGGAACGTTGGACGACTTCGCCGCGCTCGTGCGCGAGACTCACCGTCGAAACATGAGCTTGATTCTCGATCTGCCCCTGTACCCGTTCGTAAAGAGCCTGCACAACGAGACAACCGTGCCCTCGGAGAAGCCGAATAAAACGGACAAAGCAGTGCGCGAGAGAAGAGACGTTACCGAGGCGGCCGCGACTCTGCAGGAGTCAGTGTCGACGACGTCCTCCATGTCGCTTCAGGCGATTCGCGAGGCGCTGTCCTCGATACCGCCTCCTCTGGACAATTCGCAGCACGAAGCCTTCACCTCGAGTCAGGTCAACGACCACGTGTCTGAGAACCCCGTGACGACGGCCATCAAAATTTGGTTGCAAAGGGGAGTGGACGGCTTCTACCTGAAGGGGCTGGAGCATTACGCGAACGAGAAACTCTTCGCCGGCATTCTGAAACACTGGAAGTCGATTCTCGGCTCCGAGAGGATACTCATTTGCCACGTGGACGCTCTGAACGCTGCGAAATCGGCCGCGGCGAGGAACTCCGTTCTGATGAGGATGGACCTTGTGGACGTCACGTTGCGCGTGACGAACGGCACGAAGGACATCAAAAGGCAGATCGAGGACGTCACGGGCAGCGTGCTGTTCGAGAAACCGGGTTACCCGTGGGTACATTGGTCGATCGGCGGCGTGGACTCGAAGAGGATAGCTTCCACCATTAGCGTGAAGAACGCCACCATTGCCGCGACAATGTTGGGGATGATGCTTCCAGGAACGCCGAATATATTCTACGGAGACGAGGTATAAGTTCGGACGTGTAACATAAGTTTGTCGCTGTGATACGTAGGAAGAATTTATGTATTTAGTAAGAAGAAGCTAAAAGAATTTAACAGAGATGTATATTATTATATTTTTTTTAGGATAAGGATATTATATTTATATCGATATATTATATATAAGGATAAGTATAATATTGGAGGCTAGGGCGAAAGGACGTACGATAGGATACATTTCTTTTTTCATTTGTAGAGAGTTTTATAATCGTTCAATACCTCGATCTGGTCCTTTTACTGGATTATAATTATAATCTATAAAACTATTACCGTAATATTAAAGTGTTACTTGTCACACTTGGTCACAATTATGTACCCAAAAATGTACCCATTTCTTTCAATTCTCTCCCTGTAATGCAATATCTCGTGACACGGCGTTAATTTTTTCGAATAACACGTTTGACAACGTCAGACAACAGCCTTGAGTGACTATTTGAAAGTCTGCTTAATGTTTAGATAGGTATTCTGGACTGCGAATGCGAGGATCACAAAGATCTTGCTCACGTGCACAACTTGGCGCCGATGTATTGGGAGGAGATCGACGGCTCCGACTTTAAATTTTCGTCCATCGGTGTTACGGCTTGGCTGCCGGAATCTGCGAAACCGTTGGAGTCGAGCTTGATCGGGACGATCGCCGAGATGGCTGCTCTCAGATCGGAAACGACACCTATCTACGTGAAAGCGGTGCTAAAAGAGAATCAGGTGCTGGCGAACTGTGATATTAGGTAAATGTCAAACGAACGTAATAAATCTTTGAACATTTCTACGGTCTTGCATTTGATACAAAGGGACGAAGTGTAGGAATCTTCGATTTTCGACAGACTTTGCTCTTTTGACAAAGTTATTCGCTAGAGTGTTATAACAAATTACTCGAATGAATGTCACTTTTTCCTTTTCACAGGTATGCAGACGACGAGATGATTGTAATAGAAAGATGGTATCCACGACGGAATTCTTACGTCTTCTTAGCGAATTTAGGCAATCAGACGCAAACGAAGGATCTATCCTTCCTCTATTACGGCGGTTACGTCATAGTCGGTCCATCGTACAGATTAAACAAAGACGTGTACTTCAAGGAACTTATCATACCTCCGGGAGAGGCTTTCGTTATAAAACTCGATAAATGAAGATCTGTTATGAAATTGAAAAATCTACGCGACATTCATTTTATATATATGTTGTGTGTATGTATGTGTGTGTGTATATATATAGACACACACACACACACACACACACACACGTACGATTAAGATTTCGACACCTTTGATTAATATGTTCAGCATAAATTTGTGATATTTTGTTCGAGGAATATCGTTGACGTTGCGAACGTTGTACAACGAACGTTTAGATGTAAAAGTTCCTATTAATAGTAAATCAATTAGGAACGACAAAATGTCCACCAAAAGGAGAACGGCGTAACGAGAAACAAAGAAAAAAAGAGATAAAAGAATATAGAAAGAAAGAAAGGAATAGTCGCGGTGTAAAAAGAATGGAAGTAAAAGGTTGAAAGTTTGTGCAATCCCAACGATTTCACACACACACACACAAACAAACAAACAAACAAACACACACACACACACACACACACGGGTAAAATGTGTTTGAACATGAAAATCAAAAGCTCACGATTAAAATCAAATTCTACGTATTGTTAACTTTTTAATCTCGTTGGTTAATAATGACAAAGCACAACGAAAAGAAAAAAAAAAAAAAAGCAATCGCGCATTTCACATTCCAAGGAAAGACAGATCATTTCACGTTTGCCTGTGTTCATTTTAATGATCGATGTGTCATCATAGGATGAGAGATTACTTCGCTATTTTGTATGTCTTTTAATCATTTTGATAATAAAGCCGAAGATGCTTGGCGGTTCGATTAATTATTATTCACGCGACAGTCGTGAACGCGGACTCACTGTGACGGTCGATGGTGTTTCGTATTATCAACAGAGTACAAGGAATTTATTCGTGTCATTTCGGGGAGGGGGGGGGGGGGGGGGGGGGGTTT